GGGGGTAAAGTTGTCATCTCATGTATTAATGTTTCCCTAATATAAATACTATTTTGATGGGATGGTTTGTGTATGCCGCCCGATTCTTCTTCTTCTTCTTCAAGAATCTGAATACCAACATTAACAATGACACAAGTACCCCGTAGCATCTCAACACTTACTATGTGAGGATTTTGGTATTCAATGGCTATGCTGTCTTCTAGGTTTATTTTAAGCATACTATTGCATAAAGCCATTATTAGTATTATATGGAAATTGGTGGGAAAGCCACTATTGCATAAATCTATTCTTGTCTCTCTCTCTCTCTCTCTCCCACCTTCATCTCTATCCTTAACTCTATTCCTCTTTTTCAAGGCTAAGAAAATGCCTCCATTAAATATTTCATTGATTGAAAGAAAAGAGAGAAATACAAGAAAATGGAGTGTTGATGGAACACTTGAACAAAATGGGAAGTTTCTCTCGCACTAAGAGTAAGACTGTAAACAATAAACATCATTCCCGTGCATCTTATACAACAATATCAAGGATAAACCAGAAATGTAATCCAAAAATAAGCTTCATCAAAGTCTTTGAGCTTAAGATGTCCTGTCAGGAAGTACAAAATAAGGGATCCTTTGTCCACACGAAATGTCTTATATTTTCTCTTCTCTTCCCTTCAATATTTATCTTGCACATTATCTTTTTATCTATCAACATAAACCCCAACATATTACTAAAGGAACATAAGTGTAGCAAGTGCAACGAAAAGGAAGAAAGGAAGAGAAGAGAAGGAGAAAATAAGAAAAAACATGAAATATAAACCAGCAATAATTCTGAATTTAGAGAAGAAATAAAAGAAAGAATAAAGAAGAAGTTTAGGAGAAAGAGGATGGAAGAGGAAGAAAAGGAAGGAGGAAGAGAGCTTGGTGTTTCTCTCTCCAGTCCCTTAATCATGTTTTATTAGGATTGATTCTAATTTAATGTATAATTACAAGGGTGCCCCTGGTAGGGCGGCTGAACTAATTTGCAAATGCTACTTGTGATTTATTACCAACTTTTTTATTCTTTCTATTCTCATAACAGCTTTGTACCAAATCTTCTGATGATGGTGGCAACCTGCTGCACTGTGGTATCTGCCTTCGGCATTATCATCTTCAATGCAATGAACCCCCAACTGAGGTATTTTTAATTTGCACAAAATGAATAAAAGCATTTGCTTAGATGTAAAACTGACGGTACATTCTTTTTTTTTTTTTTTTTTTTTAGCATATTGCTCATAAGAAATGGCTATGCTCTGCTTGTGCTAAACAAGAAAACTCTGGAAAGATTCTGCAGCATGAGGTCCTGGTGTCAGGTAAAAAAAGAGAAAGGAAGTGTATCAAAGGATCTGGAGAAAGACCAATCATCCTTCATTCTCATAAAGTTCTTCCAAAAAGGAACGCTGGTGAGGATGCCTCTGTGAAGAAAACAAGTGGATCCCTTCTGAAAGATACATCCGCCGGAAGTACTTTTAATTACATTGATAAGAGTTCATGTTCAAGCATGTTTTCTGGATCTGTTCACAAGACTGCATATACCAAAGTAAGTTCAGATACGAATGTGGTAGATATGGAAACAGAAATCAAAATAACTTCTGTATGTGTAGATTCAATGCTTGAAAAGAATTGCAGCCTTGGGTGTCCAAGTGTCTCCATGCTGAAGGTAGTTGATTTAGAGAGCAAAAATTTCTGTTCTAACAATAAGCCTCTACTGTGTAATGGTGAACTTCATAAAGAGAAATATAGTTCCCCACTAATTACTTTCAGTCGAAGAGCCAAAAAGAAAGGGGCTGTTAATAGCATTGATGCACCAATGCAGTCTATGATTGAAGGGAAAACATTTTCAGAGAACAGATGGTGCAACTCCACATTAGATATAAGCTGTTATTATGAAGGATCCTCACAAAAATGTGGCTTAGTAGATTGGCAGAAAGCTTTAATACCATCAAGAGAAAGTCCAAAAATTAGTCATTTGACTCCTTCAAGAGGAGATGAGGTATGCAAGTTTGCTCTCCTTTATAAGCCCTTTGGAACTATTTTCTGAGGCTCTGTCTCAATTGTGTCCTTTTGGTTGATGTAATTTTCCTTAAGAGCTTGCGGGGGGGGGGGGGGGATGCTGACTATACACTTTTGATGTTCTGTTTTTTTTTTTTTTGATAAATGAATGGTAATTTTATTAATAAGAAAATAAAGTATACAATCACCCTAAGAGGAGGCACAAGATGTTACCTCCCCTTAGAAATGAAAACATAGCCACTCTTTAAAGAATACAATTATAAGGAAGCCCAAAACAGAGAAACCCGAGAAGCCCCTTGTTTAGCCAAAGAATCAGCCATGGCATTTGCTGATCTGCTAACCCACTGAAATCTGACTGAAATAAACTTTTGATGTTTCTGTTAGTATATCATGTTGCAGTAAATAGTTTACCATTTTGATAACGGTGTTTCTTTACCTTTATCTTTCCTCTTATTGATAAGCATGATTTAGTACTTTCTTTACCTTTATCTTCCTCTTATTAATAAGCATCATTTAGTACTTTCTTTTCTCTTTTACTTGTATTAGAGACCAATGTAGAAGTGGTTGAAAATTGAAATGCAGATAAGTGAAATAAGGAAGGGCTAAAAGTTCTCTGTTCTGTCACGGTAGCCTCTGAGGCAGGTGATTGTAGTTTCTTGGTTAGGCACGTTGACTGCAGTTGGATGGTAAAGGATTATAATAAAAGGTAATACCGGGTTGAATATTAGGAATTTAGGGGCATAATAGTAATGAGAATGATCTCAATGGGATTTTCAAGAGAATTTAAAGGATGGGCTGAAAGTTTTCTGTTATCACTGTAGCCTCTGATCCTGTGATGGTAGTTCCTGAAGGGTTGACCTGGCAGATCCCACCTGTCCATTTGGTGATTGATCTTCTTGGCTAGCATTGACAACAGTTGAGTGGTAAAGGATTGTGATTAAAAGTTACATAATTGCATGTACTGGGTTGTATAGGATTTAGGGACATAAAAGTAATGATCAATTTGGTAAATGGGTTTTTCCAAGGAAGAGAATTCAAAGGCTTGTGATAAGCAATTAGTAAAAATCTGGGAGTTTTCTTCTTGGGGGAATATTCTAGAACAAAGAAGTAGGAAGGTGAGCACTTAGCATAAGTAAATGCCAACGAAGAGGGAAATGGTCACAGAACTTATCTGGCCTTATATTGGCTAGGAGAGATGTTGTTTCTTACAGGTTCCTGGAGTTTGGTGTAGACTACCTTAATTAGTGCTTCAGTATGGTTTTTATGGTATAGGACATGATTTGCAACCTCAATATTGATAGGCATTTCACTATTTTTGCTAGTTTTGGTAAGATATTTTGAAATTCTAAAGAAACCAAGGAAATTTTTCAAAAAACGTGGAATTTGTTAAACTAAAATCCTAATATTCAACCTAGTACATGCAATTGCCAGCTTAGGGTCTATGCCTTGTGTTATGGTTGTTGTGTAGCCCTTTGTCTATGACTCTATGGGTTCTTCATTTGTCTATACTTCATCTCTTAGAACTCTCTCACCTTATGTTATTTTCTCTTCCATAAATTTATTTATGAGAAAAATATTTACTTAATCAACAATGGACAGAAAGCACTGAGATTGTTTAATAAAAAATATTTTAGAAAAGGAAGAGAATCCACTGGAATTGTTTGAAAAAATATCAATTTTTCGACAACCAGATTTTTAAATCAGTGTTTTCAACCCATTATTGACCCATTCAGTCTGACAAGTGACCCGATCATGTCTGGTTTGGGTTAACCTCTAGCCTGCCATATTACTAAAGAAGGGCTGACTTGGCCTATGACTTGTTGACCCAGATGGTTGAACTGTCAACCCATCTGACTTTTTTTGTATTATTTTATTTTTTGAATTTTTTATTGTTATCAACTCATGGTTGACCTGTTAACCTAGATGGTTGAACCACCAATCTGTTAACCAGAGGGAAATCACTTCAGTCTCAAGGCCAGGTTTTAAAACATTGGTTTAAAATTTTCAGGATGTCAAACTGTTTAGTTAGAACCCTGCGTTACAGTTGACCCATTCACATGTATCCATAACATTTAATCTTGTTTTTGATTGGTCATATGTGCACATAATCCTTTGAAAATGGTTAAAAGAATTAATGTTGTGATTGGGTTGTGTGGTTTTACATATCTCTTCAAGTTTTTTTATCAATAACAGATATTGGTTTATTAAAGGAAAAGGTAATTACAATATTCCGGGAAGAGATAAAGAGGTTTAACTCTCCCGAAAAGAACAGAAATGAAAAATACAATAAAGCCCAAAACATTTGTTCCCTTCCACCCCCTGTTTTGCCAAAGTATCTTCAAAAGCATTTGCAATCCTCTTCACCCACTGAAACTGAACCTCCAACCCCCTAGTTAGCCACTTGGCCTCCCTCCTCTCATTTGCAAATTTCCAAAGTCCACTGTCATTTTGTAACCAATTTAAAATCAACTTTGAGTCTCCTTCAATAACTAGCCTCTAGATGTTCAGCTCCTTTATCTTCCTTAAAAGCCTTCCATTAAAGCACATACCTCAGCTCTAAGAGAGTCACCACTCCCAATGGGGCCTGAATACAATGCAATCACCTTCTCATTCTCATCTCTGAACACACCACCAGCACCAGTGGGCCCTGGATTGCCTTCACTGCAAATTTAGTTTTATAAACCCTGGGGCTGGTGGGGACCACATAGGACATGCAACTGATTTAAAAGGAGCAGAATTTGCCACTTCTAGGCCAGCTATTCAGCAGCATATCTTTAGAGACATCAGCAAACAGATCCAAGGACTTAAATCAACGCACCAGCCTAACCATTATTACTTCAATGATACCTTCTTTGTTCCTTTCCTTATCAGAAAAGGTCCTTGAGTTCCTTTCTTTCCATAGAGTCCAGCAAATGGCAGCTCTCACACACCTCCACATAGTCCTACCCCTTTTCTTAGGCCATCTAAGGAAAGAAGTAGCAAACAAGCTTTGTATATCTGGCAGAGGTATCCACTTACAACCAAATAAAGAGAGAAACTGGTCCCATATATCAGAAGCAAAAGGGCAAGAAATTAGTAAGTGGTAGGAGATTTTGTTGGGGCCTCACAACAACCACCCACAGCATAAAACCACAAAGTATTTGAAATAGCAACCAAGAGAAATCTAATAGCATAAAAAACTAACAAAATCCAAGCAAAGAAAAATAAAAACAAGCACCACAAAGAACACAAAGATTTATGTGGTTCGGCCTTACTGCCTACATCCACGGGAGAGATGAAACTTGTTCTTCACTATGAAAGAAAACTGAAAAATAGTACAAGTACCTTGTGGCTTGCAACCTAAACCAACCCTTAACCCTTGTACACCTGTTCTCCTTTTCTTTTCTCAACTTGAAGAACGAAACAAGAGAAAAACCCACTCTTACACCAAGAGCACCCTTTCTCTTTTCCTCTTACTCTCACTCTCACTCTCAAAAAACCTTAACCCTACATACAAAAGAAAGCTTTTATATGTAAAACTTCTTTTACCTAAATAGGGACCACATCAATCGTTAGATTAAAAGGCAACCCAATGGTTGTAAAATAAGACACAATCCCAACAGGTTTCACCATTAGCCTTGCAGAGGGTGCACCAACTTGGGGACAAGCACCAATTAGGCCTTTTCCTTTGGAGTAAGTCACATGTATTACATCTTTCTAGGAAGGTTTCCGAACAAAAAGCTCCAATAATCCTTGGAGGGATCCGCTCACCCTAGACTTCCTTGATTGGAAAAGATTGTATGAAGTTGTTGGTCTATTGTGCCAAGGACTTAAAGAATGAAGCACAAGAGAAAGCCCCAGAGGGTGATGAAGTCCAAATTCTACTATCCCTTGTTGAAGGACCAAGACCACCCATTCAACATTTGAATTAGGTCCACAACAATTCCAATTTTTGACTCCCTAAGGCCTCTTCTAAAACCCAAATCCCAATCATACCCAAAGTTTGACTCGGAAGGGACCAAAAAATCAGGCACACACTTCCCTTTGAAATGGGAGAGGGAAAATAAAGAGGGTAATTGGTCTTTCAAGGGTACATCCCCCACCCAAAGGTGTTCCCAAAATTTTACCTGATTCCCAGAGCAAAGGTCATACCTGATGTACTACAGAAAGGATGGAAGAATGGCATGTATGGATTTCCAAGGAGAGGCTAAATTAGTCCTTGCCATGAGCCCAGAATCCCAGCCATCATCTGCTTGTCCATGGATACTCAAGATAACCTTAGTCCACAACTTATCCCTATCCCCTCCAAACCTCCACAACCATTTCCCCAACAAGGTTTCATTTTTTTTTTCCAGATATTACCTAATGCCAAGCCACCCTCAGCCCTACACTTAGAGACTAACTCCCAATTCACTCTATGATCTTTCCTTTCCTCCCCTGGTAATGCACTGGCAATCTAGCCAATGTAGACTTGATCAAAGTGATTCTACCACCCAGAGATAAATAATTCTTCTTCCAAGAGGCAAACCTTTTCGTGAACCTATCGATTACTGGGTTCCAAAAACTGTTATTCCACGGATTATCCCCTAAAGGCATCCCCAAGTACATCAAGGGCCACTGCGACACTACATATCCCAAAATTTCAGTCCTATCCCTCACATTTCTTTCTTCCATGTTAACCCCTACTACACAAATCTTATCAAAATTAACCTTCAAGTTTGACATTTTTTCAAATAATTGCACTACCAACTTCAAATTTCTGACCCACCTCACATCCTCTCCTTCATAGAATAGAATTGTGTCATCAACAAACTGTAGGTGTGAAATAGGTACTCTGTCTCTTCCAACCCTCCACCCCCTCACTAGGTTCCTCGAATCTCTATTAATTTCCCCAAGATTCTGCAATCAAAGTGAAGAGGAATGGGGAAGGGGGTCCCTATTTCTTCAAGTTTCTGTTCATTTTTGGTCCTTTTCCCTAAGTTTGTATTTTATTAGTTTAGTTATAACAAACATCATGTGATGTGGTGAACCATTCAACGGGATGAGTGCAACCACTGAAGTACGAATTGCCACTTGTTGAGACACAAATAAAGGGAATACAAGTGTACAAGAAAAGGCCACGCCAACCTTTAAAGAATGTAACAGCCAACCACTAGACCAAACTAACTAACAAACTGGACAAGTGGAGAGGCGGGTATAACAGAATTGTAACAGCAATATATAAATAAGGAAAGGAAGCTAGGAGGGGATTATCGATTTGGGAATACAATCTCTCTCTCTCTCTCTCTCTCTCTCTCTCTCTCTCTCTCTCTTCAGGAGGCAAGCTCACTCAAAAGAGTCCCTGAGTTAGGCAGTCCCCAACAAGTTGGTATCAGAGCCAAGATGCCAAGCACAAGGTCATCCACAATGGAGAACAGAGTCGACAACATGGAAGGAGAAATGCAAAGAATATCGGATGACGTCAAAGAAAGCTTCGCACCTTGCTTGAACGACTGGCACAAGCACCACCTGCGCCGAATCAGCGCAATGACACTAGTCATCGAAGCGGATCAAGAACAACAAGAATCGAGTTTCCCATCTTCGTAGGGGGAGATCCCACATCCTGGCTTCTACGAACAGAAAGATACTTCGATTACCACGACACACAGGGACCTGATTGTGTCCCATTAGCTTCTACACACCTGGAAGGAGAGGCGATCGTCTGGTACTAGTGGTACCGACGACGGCACCCAAGAGCCACATGGGTAGACTTCACCGATGCCTTAACCATGCGATTTGGAGTCTCAGCCTTTGAGAACTATGATGAAAGCCTCACTAAGCTACGACAGACCGGCTCCGTCCAAGATTATTAGATGGCGTTCGAAAGATTAGATGTGCGTGTGCAAGGCTGGCCAGAAAACGCGCTTGTCGACAGTTTTGTTGGTGGACTCAGGGAAGAATTGCGGCTGGAGGTAAAAGCCATGCAGCCCACCACCGTTCTTGAAGCAGCAGCATTAGCTCGACTACATGAAGACAAACTGAATCGGGCAAGAAGGATTAATCAACCTCTGGGAGCTGCGATCATACCAGGTATACCAAACCTAGAACCAGGTATCTTGGGTAAACTGGAGCCCAGATCAGGAGTAGGAATCACAAGCAAGGACGCCAACTCTGGTTCAGGCCCTGGCTCAGCCAAGAGGTTAACCTGGGCTGAGATGCAAGCCCGACGGGAAAAGGGCCTTTGTTATGCATGTGGAGACAAATTCGGGCTGGGCCATCGCTGTAAGATCCCTCAAGTTTTCTTCCTTCAACCTGAAACCGAATATGTCGAGCAATCAACAGACATTGAAGAGCCAATGGACAACCAAGAATGGGGRCAATGGACAAAGGAATACCCGGAAGTATCCCTGCAAGCCTTGACCGGTCTTGCTTCTTCTCAAACTATGAGAGTAATCGGACTGGTACAAGGGCGCCATGTGTCAGTTCTGATAGACAGTGGCAGCACTCTCAATTTCATTACCCAAACATTGGTCAAACAACTAGGGATTCTGGTCCAACCATGTACAGCCTTTTGGGTGCATGTAGCTAATGGGAGCAACCTGGTGTGCGATAGTACGTGCACAGAATTAAAGAAGAAGATACAAGGACATGAGTTCGAGGTAGATCTGCACCCCCTGGAAATCAGTGGAGCAGATGTAGTTCTCGGAGTCCAATGGTTAAGGCAACTAGGGCCCGTGATATGTGATTGGGCATGTCTCACCATGGATTTTCAAGTGGGCAGCTCACAGGTGCATATTCAAGGGCAGCTGTCCAAGGGTCCAGGACCTATTAGTCTCGCCTCCCTAAGGACATTTGTTAAACCAGATAGAGTTAATAGCAAACTATAAAACATAAAAAGAGTTTAGAGTGAGACAATTCATTTGAATCTTGTTCGGGACATCTAATTTCTTAATATATATTCTGGGAAATAAGACTTATCTATTTCAGGCATTTTTTCATAGACATGTTTATTAATTAACATCTTTCTTTGTTTCTTTTTAATTTTTTTCTTTTCATTTACTGGAGGACAGAAAATTTTATTAGTACATAAAGCAAGAATGTGCCTGGAAAAAGGATAGGTAATCTTCAAGGAGAACAAAATAATATCAGTAAAAAAAATCAAATTACAAAAAGAAAAGAGGGATTTATCCAGAAAGATAGCATCCTAATTCCTCCCAATATCCATCCTATTGAGATCCTTCAATTTTTTTTTTCAAAATCAAAACACATCCACACCCTGCACTATCAGAGCCAGTCCTTGGGAGGGGCTGGGATGCGTTATCAAATATTATTTTATTTCTCCATTTTCTTATCCCTAATAATATGCCAAATGGGATTATATTCCATAAAATTCAACCTTTAGGTCTAAAGGAAATTGAATCCACACCTAATCCATGAAATGCTTGCAGAGTTTGAAGATTTTCTGACTACCAGTTATATATATTGGCTAAGCTTGTAGGCATAGGAACATCAGCCCTAGGCAGATCAGGGCCAAAAGGACAATCTTCAAATTCTGCAAGAGGCTGAATTTCCTTTGGGTCGGGAAGGATCTCTAGGGCTGTGATGTTCGTTTTAATTTCCTAAATAATGCATATCACAATTTCCATGTTGGACATAGTCATATCATGCGAGAATTTGAAATCGGGGAATCTTATTTTGGAAACAATACAGTGACTTAGTTTTCCCAGAGTGTAAAATCTGCAATGCAGATTTTGTTTCTCCATATAGATTGTTTTCCTAGCATTTTAAGGGGGACAAAATCCTGTAAATCTGGGGTTACATTTCATTGGGAAAAGCACAAAAAAAACCAGTTTTAAATTGGGATTTTATCCCAAATGGTTATTGTTATAGCTGATCATATTCAAATTTAGTGGTTTGAACCTATGTGATTCATGCTTAATTGAACTGAAAGCTAATGAAGCATATTAGATGCCTTTTCATATTCATCAAGATAGCCAGCTAGGAAGAGATTTAAGATATTATCTTATCTATTTCCATGTAATTCTTGAGAAGATAGCCAGCTAGGAAGAGATTGCCAGTTGCAAATTCACTTCTAGAGGAGGTTCTCAAGATAAATTTTAAACATAACAGTGAACTTAAAAAAGAAAAAAGAAAAATAGAAATTAATCCTCTTTTTGTACTCTCATTTCGTTGCTCCTGGAACATAGTTTTCAAGGTGACAAGGGGATGCCTAGTCGCCTAGGCAATGAGTTTTTTAAAATAAGAAATGTAAATCCTAGGGTAGTTCCTTAGGTTTCATTGGAACTAGTATCTATATTTAATTAATAGTTGGCAATAATCCTCATGACATAAGTATAAATCTCACATAAAAACATAGAAAATCAACATATTTATGAGAAGAGAAGAAGAAAGAAAAGAAAAGAAAACCTAGAAAATATAGAGGCTGAGCCCTTGTTTTGTCCTAGGAGGACAAGGATGAGGTGGAAGAAATTTAAAAAAAAAAAACTTACAAAAAAGAAACCAAAAAAAAACTTAGAGAATTAAAAGGAGAAGGGGTGGACCCTTTATCTTTGTCTTAGAAAAAAGAAGAGAAATAATAAGAAGAAAAGACATACCTCGGTTGCTTTATGTATTGATTGGATAGAACCTTCAAGTTATTCCTTAATGGTTCAAGTTTTGAAGTCCTAAAAGGTTCAAGACAATGTCCACTGACTTGTGTATTGGTCAAACCAAAACAAACAGGAAAATCATAAAAAGAAACTAGTATGAGAATTATAAAAAATATTATAAACCGACAAAGTTAAGTTTAATAATTTCTACTGTAATGGTATAATATTATAAAATAAAGAATATAGAAATATCATGTGGCCCTTGTACAAAAAATTTCCAAGGGTGCCTTGTTGCCTCGACAACTATGTCAAGGAAATAATTATTCATTAATTCTATAACAGTGCCAAGCATATGAGCCAACAGCAGTGTGGACGTGGATACATACTGGAAAACAAGTTACCAACTGTTGAATATGTGCAGGGTGTGAGTTCCACCATGCACCCCAAAATTCCTTCAGACACCCAAGAAGATCAACCTATAAAATGTACAAAAACATCCTCGAAGGAAACAGTTGTCATGGTAAGGAAAAGAAAACAGTTCGATCTACCCAAGATTACTAATACTGGAGACAAAACTCAAATCATTTTAAATGATGGTGTGAATGGAACTGTGAAGCCTGTTGTTGGTCTTTTAGGAGATCGAGACACCATGGGCCAAATGGATCCACCTGTATCACTTCCTGGTATGTTGGGTCTAGACTAAATTGAAAAACACTATATTAGAACATTTACTTAAAGGAAATTCCAGTAGACTGATGCTGTTGTCATCTGATGAGACAGGTTCACATGATATGATAGGACCAAGCTGCTGCAAAACTAATGAATCTGCATCTGGAAGTTCTCTTGAATTTCCAAATTGCTCAAATAATGCCATTTATTTACACAAAAAGGTTACTCATAAAGGCAAATGTTTGAAGTTTTTGGAACTTGTTGATAAGACAGTGGAGAAGAGGCAATCTTCAAATCAAACGCTGGTGGGTAAATGCACATGCATTAATAGGGATGAAAGTGGCAGTAGCTACAAGGGTTATCGAACAACTTCCACTTTGCTGCCAATCGATATTTCTTCACAGGATCACTATCAGCAGGCAGATATTGATGTATTGTTTCCTCTGGTGCCTTTTTCCGTCTATTATCCTGCATAATCATTCCTATACTGTATCCTTCATCTATAGTCACCTTTAGACATAGATCAATTTGGAATTGCCTACATTTCAATAGTGATTTTTTTTCTCTTTACTTGTTGAGTCTATTGAAATAGCATATGTTAATTATGTGCAGAGCTTTCCAGAAGACAATATCAATGAGATGACTCCAGTAGTCTGCATTCCACCAGAACCAACCGATTGTGCAGATTTTAAAGGGAAAATTTTTCCTACTCAGTCAGGGAAAGATGATAATCAGTGCAAACAAATATTAACAAAATCTTTCCTATGCCATCCCCATTTTCTTGGTTTATCTCTGCAATCAGAGCCTGCAACTGCAGTTGATGTCTCAGAGGGTTGCTCCTCTGTATCTTCATTTCCAAATTTCATTCTTAAACAAAGAGGATCTATTCAGAATTTGCTGCCCCAACCTGGTTCGGACCAGTCAAGGCACAAGTTGATGCTCGACAGTTCTGTAGCAAGAGGAAGAGCATTAAAGGGAAGCATGGCTTGTTCATCAGATAAGCTCCAGGGATACAAAACTGCATGGTCAGAAGAGGAATTAGATTTTCTTTGGATAGGAGTAAGGAGACATGGAAGGGACAATTGGGAAGCCATGTTACGTGACTCAGGGCTGCATTTCTCAACATGGAGGGTGGCAAAGAACCTGGAAGAGAAGTGGGATGAGGAACAATCTAAGCTTTTGAATGGTGCACTTTTTCAACCACTGAGGTTGGCAAGTCAACAAGTCACTCCAGGCACTGACAGTGGCTTATGGACGAAGGAGACACTAGAGGGTAACGGTCATGGGAACTTTTACACCAATAGTCATAGAATTGAAATACCTGATGTTCTTTTAGATGAAACTCAACTTTCTCTTGGAGATGTGTATTCCCAAAGAGATCGAAATATCCCAAAGAGAATTCTATCCAATTTCCCGATCTCAACTCCTAGTCACCAATCACTGGCAGAACATAACTGTCTAGACAGAGTTTCTAGTGTAAGGAGTAGCTCAAGAAATTTTCTTCCAAAAATTGGAACTAAGCAAGTCAAGAAACATTCTCAGTGCCAAAGGAATCAGTCATCTTCAGACAGAAAATGTGCAACATATGGTAGTGATCAGTTTCCCATCCTTCAGCAGAAACCTATTGATAGAACAGCAAATTATGGGCTGCAAAATGCAGAGTTGCTTGATCATGGGGAAGAAAGCAAAGGAACTTCAAATTATTCCCCATCTTCAGATTTTCCACCATCTGGTTTTCCCCCAAAAGTCAGTTTACCTCATTGGCTCAAAGAAGCTGTAAATATTCCTCCAAGGCCAATAGAGTCACCACTAACTTCAGCTATTCCACCCACCAAGCAGTTGTCAAGTTTTCTTTACAATGACCAACAACAGGCTGTCCTTCCTTTTTCCAGCCCTGATGCACTGCCATTCCAACCAAAAGATTCTCAAGGGCTAAAGATGAACAGAATCAATAACAAGTTCATTGGTCTAAGGGAACCTGAAACATTGCCACCTATTGCCTGCTCTTTTCTGGGAACTAGATTCAGTCATCATTCTAGCATGAGTTCAAACTCTCTAATGTCTGAATTTGAAAATCAAAACTTAAATATTGGTGCAGATAAACTGAATCTTACATGTTCACACCTAGTTAAAACCAAACCAGATGACTTGGTCCTCAACGACAATGATGCTTCTTCTGAAGAAACCATATCGGATGATCAAAATGGTAGGCCACAATAGGTACTTCTCACAATCCCAAGTAACAGATGATTTTGCAAATAAACTTGCGAAATTGTAGTCAATCATAGAAGGGTATTGTTATTAATGCAAGTAAGTTCTTTTTGTTTTTTGATTCTTGTTGGATATTTGCAAGTATCCTTGCTAATATCATATAAGGGTTTTGCCAATTCCCTGTACAGTTGCAAATGTATATTGTAAATGAAAAATGAGAAGGATTTCAACTTCTTTTCCATACTCCAAGATTTGAGACACCTAATTGTTTCTAGGCATTCTGTCAATTACCTGTAAAGAGCGCCCAAAGGTTTATGAGCAAAAACCAAATAAGCTTTATATGCATTTTGTTGACAGAACCCCTTTTTGATATGCAAAAGAAGTCTCCTCTAATTATTGATTGATTTTTCTTTGTAGTACATGAATGTGTGGTATCTATTGTTTTAGCATCAGAGCTCCATACAATTTTGACTCGAACAAGACGAATCTTGTACAGACTGCCGGAGATCTTACTCAATTCAATGCATTTACACATCATATTATCGTTAATCGTCAGTCGTCACTATGTGGTACGTTACTAATTTCATGAGCATTTGCCATGATCCATTGGATCGAATCAAACAAAACGCTCAAAGATTTCAATCACTGCATCTCCTAGCCTAACCAATGACGTGCAAAGAATCAGGATCAAAACCTTTCGTCTTCCGTAGAATTTGGTTTTGATTGGTTTTAAGCCCTGACGCCGCGTTAAAGCCTTTTTCACAGGGTTTAATTTTCCAGACTTAACCATCAAGTGAAAGTTATTAACTAGGGATGACAAGCCATGATGTCCATCAGTCCATGACAAGAAGTTAACAAAGAAAATGTTATAGTTAATGTTGTCTTTCCTTTGGACAAGAAAGAGGGCTGAAAAAATGGCCCTCCGAGTATGAAAGTTTTGTTCTTTCATCTAATGTTGGAGTTGGGGGTAATCTGGACTCATTTTTCGTCACTACAGCCTGTTTCAGCGATCAGCCCACTTGCTGCTAACACATTGTTACTGCAATTGATTTTTCGAGCCCTGATCTCCTGAAAGCAAAAACTCTAAGAGAACAGCTTGTAGTCACACATCAGGAATGTCTTCAGTACATATATGCTAATTTCATGGGAAGATGTTCCTAATGTGCAATTGTATGGGGTTCGGATTGGCTTGGCTCCCCACATAGAACTTCTCAGCATGCATTGTAAGGGTGTTTATGGGTCGGGTTGGGTCAGTTTGAGTCATTTTCTTCAACCGATCCAACCTAGTCAGTTTACTTATTGACTAAACTGAAACCGACCGACCCAAACATGAAGGGTCGGGTTGGGTCGGTTTAGTCAGTTTTTATATATATTTTAAACTAAAATATCTATTTATATTTAAGTTTATTTCTTTTTAGTTTTTATGCAAAATCAAAATATATATTTAAATTAATTAGTTTTTATGCAAAACTGATTTTTTTGTCAATATATATTTAAATTTATATAAAACTGAATTAAATACTGTACCATTGTATTATATTTGTATTGGTTTTACGTTTTTAGTTTTTATCATAAATAACTATTTTTTTCAAAGTTCAAACAAAACACAAATAAAATATATCAACATTTAACATATAGGGTAGGGACTAATTAATAATTACTTAAACATATAGGATCGGTTCGGTTTGGCTGGGTTTCGATTTTCATACATGAAAACTGAAACCGAATCGATTTGTCGGTTTATTTTTTTATACAAACTGAAACCGACCCGTAATTTTGAAAAACCGACCAACTTGGATTGGATCGGGCCAGTTTGGTCGGCTTGACATTTAATGTGAACACCCCTAATGCATTGGGAACATCTCCCGTGCTTGTTATGAGGAGAGGTTCTCAATGAACATCTCCCTTGGAGTCCATTTCTTCCTTTTCTCAGGTCAGCCAACTCTTCATATGTTGTTGGACATCCATTCTTCTCTTCACAACATCTATGGCAATTATATCTCCATTTTCAATCAGACCAATTGGACCGCCTTCCAGAAAAAAGTATTGTAACCTGTTTGTTAGCCAAAGAACAGTAAGATCGATCATTTACTTCACTTATATATTAGTATACTAGTGGGGCCCTGTGCGCATGGGAAAATCAAAAGTTGATTAATTTTATTAAATTGGAAAATTTAACAATTTTCATATTTATTGGTAATTTACATTGGTTTTTAATATTTATTGGGAAATTTAATTTATTGATTTCCATAAAATAATTTTCATGGTTTTGATAATTTAATTAGTGAAAGTTAATTTAAAGAAAATCTAATTTACTGAATTATTTTATATTTTCAGTAATTAATTATTCATAAATATTTAGTGTAAATAATTTACTCTAATAATTATTATCAGTTTTAGAAAACAAATTTACTCAAATAATTTATTAAACGAATTTTCAGAAAATGAATTTACCAAAATTAAATTCATTTCAGAAAATTATCATTAAATTATTAAATTATTTACATTATAATTAAATTATTTAAATTATAATTAAATTAATTAATCATTTACAATAACAGTAATTATTAAATTATTCTTCAGACTATATAATTACAGTAATTACTAGTTATTTTTCAGATTGTTTTTCTAAAATATATTTTTCAGATATTTATTTAATTATTTTCAGAAAATTGTTTAATTGTGATATTTTATTGCAATACCTAATTTTCACAAAGTTATTTTCAGAAAATATTTTATTCTGATTATGTTATTCGAGTATTTAATATTCAGAAATTTAATTAACTCTAATAATTAGTTTCTTGAAAATTAAATTTAAAAAATCGTACTTAAAAGACAATGTTATAATAAATATTTAATTAATTAACAGTTATTTTTAGCAATTTTTATAAAATCTCTACTAATAATTTACCATTAATTAACTATTAATTATATTAAATTTAATATTCATTAACAGCTATTAATTAAAGTTAATAATTTTATCATTGTTAACAGTAATAAATCATTTGTTGCTAATTATTGTTAATTATTACCGTTACTTAAATTTATGCTAATAGTAAATTAAGTTAATCAAACAGCTAATTAAGTGATAATTGTAACCTTATGTTATGAATTGATTGATTGATCCGAGGAATAGTAACACTAATTAACATATACGCGGGTGGGGCTGTAAGTCCGACCCATGTGTCTTGTCTTCTTGACCCGATACTATCCTATAGTATTCGCTTGAAGTTTCGAAATAGCGATCGCAATAGCATATTAGGGTTCATAAAATTTCACCTTTTGGCACCCTAGTGTGGTAGCTTAAATTTAAAAGCCGACCAAATGATGTAAAAAAATTGCAAAAAATCTCAAGTTTGTTCAACGACACACCTGTTTTGTTTTTGAGAAGGAGAATGGGGAGGAACCCCTAGCCAAATACATACCAGTAACATAGCTTCGTTGATCCCTGAAACTGGTGCCTGTGAAACAATGCTGTTGATCCTCGAAATTGGCTTCCAAAAACAAACTCAATCCTAGAAACACAACAAAAGCGTTGAGATGGAGTGAAGTCCAATATGTTCGGTGTGAAGAAATTTGGTCTGCCTCTATTTTGTATGTCAAGCTTTGTTCACGATCAAGACCCCTCTGTTGTCATGTTAAATTCGATCAAATGGTCCCTCTGTTTTCACGTTAAACTCAGAAAGATCAAGTTCTCGAGCTTTGAATCTCTAAATGTCCCCTTTGTTCTCACTTTGAACGGAAAGAAGTTTTCTCGTTAAATTGGGTTCGCCAAGTATAGAGCAGAGAAAGAGTTTTTGTTAGTAATCTATATCTAAGTATATCTATAATCTATAAATATATACTTAATGACACGTGTTTCTCTCTTCCTTCTCTCTCTTCTTCTACCTCTCTCCCAATATAATTGATTCTATAATATTTAAAAATTACAAAAATGCTACATACAAAACAAATACATCTTCTTTACTTTGCCATGTAACATACAATTATTTATTATTATTATTATTATAATAAAATGCCATCTTTCTTTGCCATCCTATAAATAAAATGCCATCTTTCTTTCCTATTCTCTGCCTCATTTTTATTCATTCATTTATTTATTATTATTATTATTATTATTATCTAAACATTTATTTATTCATACAATTAAATAAATTATTTATTTTAATAAAATAAAGGAGATGTCACATTGAAARAGAGATTTTAATAATAAATATTTATTTATTTATTTTACTAAATTATTTATTTATATAAAAATAATTCACTAACAAATTATTCTCTCCCCTCGAGCCCAATATTTAGGGCTGCCAATGGGTCGGATCTGGTTTGAGATAGCCTATATCATTCCCATCCCAAAAAACTTATTTATTTATTTTATTCAATTTAATAAAATATTATATAAACATTAATTTATTTAAGAAAAATTAGGGCTGAATCAATAGGTTGGGTCTATCCTAATGGAGCTAAATTGACTGAACATAATTATAACGGTTTTGGCAAGGTTTTAAAAATCGACCCGAAAACAGAACCATTCTAGCTACCGGTTTCCGGGTCAGTGGTTCAACCGTCCGGATCGAACGGTTCGGACGGTTTGCATATTAGGGCAAATGTTTGTATGAGATTTCCCTGATATGCAAACCTCATATAAGAAAGAAGAGATGTCGGCTGAGAAAGTTAGAAAGTAGAAGGAGAAAGGAGAACTGTTGGCTGAGAAAGAGAAAAAGAAAGAAGAAGAAAGAAGGAGAGAAGGAGGGAAAGAGAGAAGGAGGGAAGAAGAAGGAAAAGGAGGAGGATGATTGGATGCTCACCGGCGACGATAGCGGCAACGGCGATGGCGAGGCGGTGGCAAAAGATACAATCTGAGATATGAGTTTTTGGATCTCAAATCTGAGATCTAAGTTCTCGGATCTCAGATCTGAGATCGATTTCTCTAAAACACCCGTTTCTTCTTCTTCTCTTTGTGCTAGATCCCAGATCTACAACTACAGTAATTATTAAATTATTTAAATTATAATTAAATTACTTAATCATTTACGTATCATGAAGCAATGAAAAACCTTAAGGGTGGTTGCTATGGCATTGATCTAAGATTGAAGAAAAGTAGAGAACTAATATCTGGATTCAAGAAGCAAGAAGAGGTTTCACCTGTAAACTTGGGTAGGTTGGGGGGGATGAAACAAATCTATGACAAATGTTCCAGTGGAATAAGTTAAATGTAAGTATACCTTCCCAAGACCTGCTCC